AATTAATGTGCTTGTAAATGCACAAGTTTTAATTTCATAATTTTTCGCTTTGGTTTTTGTGCCTCGCATATTTATTGAGGTGTATGAACCATTTCTTTTCACTTATCTTTCGTTCCCAATGTTCATGGCGAATGTTCAACAAGGTTTACTCTAATGCAACCTGCGGGTCATGATTAATAGATAATTAACATGATGTGTTAATTGACTTCATGAAAGAAGAACGTAAGTGAACAAAATAAAAGGGCTGAGCACTGGCCATCATTTTAATATGTTTCGGTGCAATATATCTTAGAGGCTAGGCTGAACTTGCGATAGTCAAACTTTGTGAACGATAGTACAAACAAATTAATAACATTGTAATGTTTCCTAGCGTTGTAAAATACGGGTTCTACATGGTACTAATTTAAGGACACTTTAAAAGTATCGCCTCAATTGCATCAATAGTGCCACACAATCATTACAAAAATATGCACAAGTGAACAATATTTGACGAAGGCATGAATCATGATGCTCATCGAGATGGGTGAACGTCATGGGGGGGGCGAACTGTCCTCCACTATCTTTTTACGTTATAATTCTCAAATTTTCTTGCTCGTAGCGAAAAGTGAACTCCACGAGGGTGATAGCTGCACTGACTTCCATTATGATATTACGCGTCTCATAAATTATCTTGCCCATAGAGATAGGTGACCATCAGGATCAGGATATACGAGCCCTTCAAGTGGCCAAGCTCGCACGGTCTCACACGTAAATCAATGGCCCTGTGAGTGACATAACAATAGCCACGGCGCTGCTCACCGTCCGCCTATCCGGACACAATAGCGGCCATCTCGATCCGGCGCTCCCGCACCTCCTGATCGGACTGATACCACGGACCAGGATTATTCCTTATTAGTTCTGGTTCTTCTTCTGAGTCCTTTTTTTTCATTGGCAGCAGCAAAGGTACTCCAGCATTTTTTCAATCGCAACAGCCGGTTCTTACAAAAAAAAATTTCTTTGTTTCGACTGTCAATCCTTTCTTCTCGTTCGTGCATCGTGCAATTCCACATGCATAGGTATATGTTATGCTCGTGAAGTGTTGCGAAGGAATAACCTATTAGATTTTTAGATTAACAATTAACGTATCCTATCATATCATCAAACCTAGTATTCAATTATAAATCTTCGACACGTAGAACATATTCTAATATAATGTCTGAAAGTTTCCTCAAATATTCAAGTCATATTCTAATCCACACTTCATATTAACTAAATTTGATCTGATTCGAACTTCACGGCATTTATTTAAAAATTTTTCGCTCCAAACAGGTAAATGAAAACATCGACAGGCTTTGTTCGCTCAGCCATTTCATAAACATGATCGATGCATCTCGAAAAGATATGTTATTTTAGAGGAGTTTAACTACAAAATACTGTTTTGGAAACATTCAAATGAGATGAACTTTCGATTAGTAGTATCTTTGTCAATGAACAATTGATTATCTGCTCGTGCGTCTGCGAAAAATGGTGAATATATTCACAATTTTCCGCCATCTCAAATCAACCCAGAAGATTTTTCCTAACCCGGCAAATGATGGCCTGTGGACAAATTACTGGGCAGGACCTCGCGGTGTCGCCAGGAATTTAATTTACGATGCATTGAAGTTTCGATGAATCGGTCAGATGCCGAATTTGGATGAATATTGATTCTCCTCATGAATCTTGGATGCCGGGTCACTCAGATCACGCATGTCAATGAACAAAAGCTTGCGTAAATGGCGTGTCAAGCTCTATAAGACAGCAATTTTTCCGTGAGACTGTAATCAAGATCAGCGAGCTCATGCAAGCCTCTGAGTCATGTCTGACTGCTTATTACCTGTCTTGCGTGTGTGTTATTGAACTGCTGGATGATAAAGCATTTTACTATAAATTCAATTTCGAATATCATGATGTTATTATAATGATTGAAAAGGTATGTGGTTTAAACATACTCGTTCTTTTTTCGAAAAACAGTTTATAAACGTCTTGTGGAAGTTTTAACCTCGAATTCTCGAGGCATCCAGAAACGAATTCAAATTTAACGTTTGTGGCTAGTTATGCTGAACATCGAATTCATAATTTTGAATATCAAGCTCTATGAAGTTTCGTAAATCGTTATTAAAACTATAAACAATATTCACGTTCCTTCTGACTCAAAATGTAGATGCAACCAAGGATAGGAGGTAAGTTCGATTGAAAGTTGCATTATCATGCATTATCAAACATGTCCATTCTTATGAGAAGTAAATAGGGCAATTATATACCTACCAGTTATATAAAATCAAATAAGGATTAAATAAATATAAGTTATGCAAGTAAAAATCATCTGCACAATTGAGCATATCCTTCCTCGGAGCTCTGAAGTCTATAAACGAGTTTGTTGAACACATTATTGTAAACTAGAAAGGCTTCCAAAAATTTTAAAAAATATAACTCAGTACTCACTACAATGAGTGACAGAGAGCGCGTTTTCTCATCGACGAAAACTTGAGGTCACGGACGGAAGGACAGGCAGACAGACAGACGGAAATGGCGAGCACAATAGTGCATTTTTTCCATAAATGAGAAAATGCGCTAAAAAATACTTCAATTGTGGTTTATACGAAATGCTTAATTAAATTCAAATTACAGCTTACATTTTACCTATGTCACATTTAGACTATAAAAATCTTACCTTGTTAATGTTTGAATTAAATTCAAATTACAGCTTACATTTTACCTATGTGACATTTAGACTATAAAAATCTAAGCTTTTTAATGTTTGCATGAACCATGGTCAGTTAAACTGGCGCAAACAAAATTGCTTTTTAAAATAATTTTAACCTAATATGTGCAGCAGGCATTATAACGAAATTTCGTTTGATGCAAACTGAATAGCGGCGTAAAAATTTATAAACAATTTAAATTCAACGCAGCCTTATCTTCCACACATAATCACGTACAGAGTAGCTCATAATTAAGCCGTTTCCGAAGAAGCCTTCACAGCTCAAATTAATCTATAAAAATCAGAAGTTAAAAGTTTCTATAAATAGTGTTATATACGATATAATTAGCATTATAGGCATGCAGTCCTCAAATATGATGCAATGCTTGAAAATTTTCCTGAAAAATACGTACATTATGCCTCTTTATTGTCTGAAACGCAACGCAAGACTCGTCGCTCTGCCTCTCATAAATTCACAAGCTTCGTTTTGAAGTTTAGTGTATCTGGTGATCAGACCGGACCATAAAGAGCTCTCGTGAGCGGGTCATGCCCGAACTGTTGAGGTAACAGATCTGCTGATCAGTTCATCAGGAACCCATGTTTTGACGGCCAAAGGCGTGTATTGACGGACATCTGTAAAGCACACGCCCCGAGCACGCAACACACTCAAATTTCAAGGAATTGTTTTGTGTTGGACACCTTCGCATGATGGAATCGAAGCTTGTTGCCTGGTGGCATCCCACGGCAGTCCAGACAAATTTGCAGCTAAAAATAAGACACCTGATGTAACAAATGTTACTAAATTCATCTAGAATTAGAGTTAGTTTGTCTATACTGTATTCGTTTTCTATGATAGAGATTAAAATTAAATTAATGTGATTTTTTCTCATGATTACTTTTAATCTATTGTGTGGGAAGAATCATCAAACAATCTTCGACACCTCAAACCTTCAGCGTTGATTTTCATGAAAGATTACATTTTTGTTTCATTATTTTCATTTTACATGCAAGTGAATTTCGGTCGACAAATAAACAAGATAGATAACGTAGATACTGCTGTCTGTTGACTAGTCCGCCATTATACCGTTTAATTGGCCTGAAGCTCGTGACGCTGCAGCTAACCTACACAAGGAGTTAACGATGAGAAGATGACGTGTTACTCACACGAGAACATGACAGCGACACTGCTTACACATGTTTACTCCTACGCGCTTGGTGCGAAGAGTTTCAAAGAATTCGCTTGTCAACATCGATTGGACATGCATAAGATGACACTGCACGAGATGCACGAACATGAAGAGTTCTTAGAGAATTGCAAAGAGGATGTGATGTTGATAATTTATCGTCAGGTCGATTAATAAATTAAGGAAGAAAGCAAGATTTCAATATATCCTCATATGAATTTAATCTCCAATAAAATAACGCAGTTTTCACCTATCAAAACACAAGGGTGTGCAGAATCAGCTGTTTATTCAGTCTCTGAAGCTATTTAATTACTGTTGTCAAACTCTCTATCGACAAACATGATTGAATTGTCAGTCCTACGACAGGTTTAAAATAATGTGCGGAAACATGCTTTTAACATGTAATCACATATATTACCTTAGACATAAAAAGTGCTACTCTGCTATATTTTTATAGTATAACTGTAACTATTTAACTAAGTTTGTACGCAAATGAGGCTAAAATTCCGAGCCAAAATAATTCTGAAGCTGACAATCCAGCGCAATTTTTCTTAAGTCTTCCACTGGGTGGAGTTCACTTCCTTTCAGCAGATAACTAACAAGCGCCAATTTCTTGAAGTCTAAATCAAAGGTTCGCAAAAGCCGCGCCTTTTCATTTCGGTGCCACGACTGCATGAGAGTAGAATGTCTCGCCCACACGTCCCTTGGCCCCGAGCGATCGACCATACTTGCACGTTGGTGAACGCATTCCCCTTTTTGAACTCAATGTTTCACGAATGTAAACGTAATTTCAATAATTATGTATTCCCTCGTCTCTTAAGCATGCCGATCTTCGCCAATTTTTATTCTATTTTAGTTGTGGCATTTTAGTTAAAGCTACTTATACCTCTGCTAAAAACAAATTCAAGTCGATTACCTATCAAGCCGTTAAAAAGTTGTTATTTCCTACAAATTGTGATTCAATAATCATTTTGCAATAAGATATCATAAATTTAATCAAATTTAATTATGTTGGTGAATAAATTATTGGCAGAGCTTTTATCTTCGATTGGGCGGAAACCTAGATTTTAATCAAAGAACAAGTGGCACTGCTACTTCTCTCAGTTGCCGGTTGTTTACTGATGAACGGGCAAATGGATACTTATTGCAATGAAAACTCAAATTATACATCGTGATCGTGTTATCCTGTGTGTGCTTATTTGAATTCATAAAATTCTGGTGCGAAGCAATATGAACGTGTTGATTTCACTTGTCGTTTGAAAAATTAATGAAGAAAATACCTATGTAGGCTAAGGCGAGACGCGATCGGGATTCTGAAGTTAATCTTCGAGATGGCGGCTCAACGTAAGCGGCTGTTGAACTCTATTTCATAAGTTTTGATTAATATATGATAATTCTAATTAAAAAAAACATCACATTTCAAGTGTAACAAGATTCCGTCATGAGTGTTGTAATCTTTTTAGTTTAAAATTATTCGACCATGACGTTGGGTTAGATATGAATACCTATATTTTGACAATTTGTTGCTCTAAACTAAAGTTATGAATTTTTTTTTGTTCGATGAAACTATTTGATTTGGTTTCCACTAGTGAAATTCATCGAGTTTGCAAAAATAACAACTAAATGAGGTTGATACACACATGATTAGGTATGATACAGATGCCAAATTAAATTCGTGAATGTTTTAGCCATTCCTATATTAACTCTCTGTGGGAATACAAAGAAAACAATGCAAGGGGGGGGGTAAACTTAAATAATTTGACGATCCAATAAATGTAATGTAAAATTCTCAACTTGAAAGTAGGGACTAAGAATGATAGCGGTGTACAGTTATAGTTTAGTTTGATGTTATAATTATGATGTTTATTGTTTATATTGCTCAATAATTATTTAAGTAAAATGTGAAGGTTTCAGCTAATTTAAATTATTTCATGCTCTAGGAATCTATTGAATGTCAGATATATTCGTGCGTTTATTGAAATCACTAATTCGTAGAACTTGAACGAGCACTTAGTGGTAATTTATTGAATCTTTTTACATATTGAGTGATTCATTATCACATTATTTAATGTACATCTTTATTTTAGAAAAAATGGACCGGGTGGAATCTGGATCAGCTCGCAGCCCTGTTGTGGGAGAGGAAGGTGTATTTGAAGTCGATCGTGTCATCGATATCATGTGGAGAGATGATGTGAGTGACAGTGAGCCCAATCTAGCAAGTAAAGCTAGTAACCGTAGATTATTTGATGCATTTTAAATTTTCAATTTTTTTTTTTCATCTGAGGTGCATACAGTATTTGATATTAACTGCGAATTTGGGCGTTCGTTTTTTCACATTTGACATCGACCGACGAGTCGATTGTCAGTGCAAAAAAGTATAGACAAAGTTTTTTTCCGATTTCAAAAATTTCAAATCGTTCTGATGATTATTCTGTTCTGTAGTTGTAACTAGAATAAATTTTATGATCTTGAAACTTGATCTTTGACAATATAGTAGCTTCAAGAAACGGGCTTCCAGCGAAATTTCTGTCTCATTAACACGCTTAATTATTGTCATGGCTTCAGAAAAGTCTATTTGGTTTCCTTCGTAGGTTGTACCTTGTAAACAAATTTCAGATTTGGTATCCAGTCCCACTACATCAAGCATATAATTAACAGATAATGATAAACAAAGAGCTTTGTTTAAACTAAACTCATCCTTTCTACTAGTTCGCTGACAAATAATATTGCATTTGTCTATGTGAACTTACTCCAATGTTCTGCATAGTGGGAAAGCGGCGCTGGTGGTCCTCTGTACCGAGTTCGCTGGAAAGGCTTCCCGCCAATCGAAGACACGTGGGAACCGATTGACAACTTCACACTCGAAACTAGAAAAACTGTGCGCAGATTTGTCAGGAGCTACAAAAAGATGCAAGAAACGGTAATTCTGTTCATTATAAAATACGTTTTAATAGGATTAAATCTCTTGACACGTTCCCTACTCTTTATTCAACTTTGTATTGAGTGACAATCAAGTTTCTTTAATTATGATATCGCTTTGAAGTATGTTTTCATTTTGCTATATGATCATTATCTAGTTTTAATATTCTGCAACTAATTCTACATCTACATTATGTAATTATTATCCGTTTGTAAGCGTCTGCTAAGAATTTCATGTCTCAATTTGTGAGCAACTTGATTGGTCCGTACGTGAAGGAACGCAAGTTACGACGCTCAGTTATGGGCGACAGCGCGGACGTGGAGTGCCGCCATGTCAACATCCTGAGCCGCGAAGTGAAGTGCATACAGAGCATGAGGTGTGACACTCATCGCCAGGTCAGTCGGTTCTCTGTTTCTTATTTTTTCCCTGCATTCGTTTGACTGCTTTGTGTTTTTCCGAGCATAGTTTTTGTTCATTTGATGGATCTGGAAGTGTTGACGCTGACTTACCTTCAATATTTTTTAAATCTCCAGTTTCAGTTGTGTGTTCGGCAACTCTGTTTTTGATCTCTTAAAATAAAGCGATACTTGTATCAGAATACTAATAAACACTCGAATATCCTAATGTTGATCTACAATTCTCGCTAAAATCAAGGTGGCTATGGTGGCTCCCGTAATTTTTTTATCATTCTGAACGCAGTTTCTTAGTCCTTCCAAAGTAATGAAACTCTTCAGGCATTTTTTGACCAATAATCAATTTATAAATATTGAACAAGATGTTAGAATTTTTTAAATTGAATACGGTTACTAAACCCTGGTCTCCGAAAAATTGAGAGATGTTGAAAATGTTGCATTTTGCCATGAAAAATAATATCCTGCAATGCTCATTGTGACATGAAAAATAATAACCTGCTGAAATGCTAACTTTTTAATGAAGAATGCTCTCCTGCAATGCGTATTTTAACTTGAAAAATGCTCTTTTTCATTCAAATCTTATTTTAACAAGAAAAATAATATCTTGCAATGCTCATCTTGAAAGGAAAAATTGTATCCCGTAATACTCATTTACGCAAAAATTTATATCTTGTTATGCTCATTTTACATAATAAATGATATCCTGCAACACGGGTTGCTTATGCTAGCCTGCGCTGTGGTTTTACCTGGTGGCCTGGAAAGGCTTGGGCCCCGAGGACGCCACTTGGGAGAGCGAAGTCTACTTAAGACATGCTTCGGATCTCATACTTCAGTACAGGACCAGCCATCCGCTAACTCAAGGGTGCGTCACATTCACTAGTGTCATGTAGTTCATAAAATCAGAAGACCCAATAATGTTGGTTCTGTCGTCAGATTTCAAGTAGTACATTTTTACGATTATTTATGTCAATTTTATGTCTACCCTTGAGTTTTCTTCCAATGTGTCGATCGACCGAAAATGTCGATTACATTTCTTATGCGATCAAATTCTATTTCGCGGGTGGAGCCAAATCAAATTTTGACCATGAAATGAAAGTTTTAGTTTTTTAACAATAGTTATAATCAATGACGAGGTAATTAACGGATTTCATTTACTAGCAGGCGCAACAGCATCAGCTCTGGATTGTCGCCTCCTTCTAGTACGCCTTCAGATCCTACCAAGTTGTTACTGGATGGACCCACTCCGAGAAAACAGGTGAAGCAGCGTTTAAATTGAATTATTAAAATAATCTATAAATTTGGTCTAAAATTATATTGGTGTAATGTTCAGAGCGTCGTTATTATGAAATTGAAATTTGGAATTAAAATGAAAATCATTCAAATTTTGCATGAGCCCCATTGTGTTGAATAAGTTTTTATTAAGTACGTTCACATTTGATATCGTAGAATGCATTGCTTCATCAATTTTTATTTATTTACTGATCGAAAATGTAAGACAAATTATCGTTATAATTAAGCTTGAATAGATTAATTAAATTCTAATGGAGGTAAAAGAATCATGCTTCCACAGAAGGAGAAACTCGTATTCGTGAATGATCTCATTGATGACAAAATACGGTACGAGCCCAAGTCATCAACTAAAACTACCCCAAAAGACCGCATCGTCATCTCCAAAAAAGCTAGCACATCACGAACTCTGAACACTTGCGAGAAAGTCAACAGAACAAATTCGACAAAGAAGATCGCTACCGATTGTCAGAATTACGATATGAAGGCGAAACAAAGTGAATTTCATTGTCTTCCTGGAAAATCTTCCACTAGTGCAGAGTTACACGGGAAAAAAGTATCAACTCGCAAACTTTGCGAAACGGACAAAGCTATAAAATGCAAGACAAGCAGCCACAAGCAACGCACAGCCGCCCCCTCGAAAATCTCTGGAAACCTCGATAATTTTGAACAATGTGATCAAGTCGATGGCCTTTCATCAGACTCGGAAAACGATAAAAATCCTAGGAGGGAAAAATCTCATTTTCGAAGACTGATTCTTCCTGATGACTCCACTGACTCCGAAGTGGGATCAGATCAGGGTCTTCGATCGTACAAAAACAAATACATTAAAGATCGCAAAATGGAAGAAAAGAAACGTCGTAAAGATTTGATGGCCAAGAGAAAACTGCATGATTTGAATGTAAATCATCATAAACGGACATATATAAGGGGAAGAGCGAAACACTTGCCTAAAATTGTTACAACGCAAGATTCTTTTTCAACAGATACCACGAGAGCTAAAAGTTCTCCCATTGTCAAGCCATCGATCTCTGGTACGTCAGACCCGACAAAAACGAAGGAAGAAAGCTCGAAACGTACTCGCAATCTTCACCTCATGCAGAAGTTAGAGAATATCTTTGGTTATGATACCGACTCCGAAGATTTGACTTTGTCACCAGCAAGTTTTTGCTCAAGCAGCGGAAATGTCAGCTTTCAAGGTAAAAGTAGCGAAAAATTTTTGGAATGGAGCACGCAATGTCCCGAACTGCCAAGCGCTGGGCATTCCTCACCATTGACTTGTAAATTGGACGAAGATTCATTCAAATCGCCGTCATTCAACACGCAAGACAACTGTGCTATCGTTGAAAAATCTAGAGGTAGGTCATGATCATACATTAACTGAACGAAATTTTAAATTGTGATGATCCTGTACTCCCTCAGTATTGCTAGGTAGTATACGTAGCAACTCAACAACACATCATAGGCAACGAGGTACGCCATTTGGCTGCTATTCGCATTTGTAACAAGCTGAATGCCACACCATCCTGTCACTTTATACATATTTTCTTACATAAAACCTAACAAAATTAAACTAATTCAAGGTTTGGCGGTTAATTCAGGCGTAGATGGCAAGGGCTCTTTGCAAGTCGATGGTGCGGAGACAGCAATGGAAGTTCTTCTGTCCGGACTGCCTGACTACGATCCCATTCGACGCATGGAAACCTTTGCTTTGGAAACTTCCCACAGCTACCTCCTGACTGAAGAAGATTTTATTTCAGCTATTGAGGATGGTAAATAATTTTTTATAATTAGAGTATAATATTTAATATTAGAGTATGATATTTAATATTAGAGAATTATATTTAATGGCAAAATTGAATTTTAGAGCTCCATTTGTAGTTGCATAATGGTGCCGCCTATGGTGACTAATGGTTGTGCTGCTTAGAGGAATGTCTATTAACTTGCCTGAAACATGAAATAATATTTTTTAATACAGGAAAAATATTTGTCACCATCATTTTACAATACAATCATAATTTATAATTTCTTCTGCTTGCGCAAAATGTCGCAAACACTGATGCATAAAATTTACAAGTAATCACAATAGAAATTCATTTCACACGTACACCATAACATTTTTACCTGCGACAAATACCCCCACCCGTTTAAATTTGCAGGAGATTACAACACAGCACTGCAGTACCTCGAGTGCAGCCAGCGGAGTCTGCCACGCCTGCCGTACGCCAGTATGCTGATAGCCGCCCAACGCCAAGGGAGACGAGACGTTGCCCAGCTTCTCGTTGCAGCGGCGATTGAGAGCTCCCATGACAGACGAGACTGGCAACATCACTGGCTGCCAGCTGTAGAAGAGGCTGCCCGACAGGTAGCATTGAACTTTACATATGTTATTCTATATTAAAAACGGTTATACTCTGTTCAACTAGTCTATGGGTCTTTAAGTAAAAATTTTGTTGTTAATTAAGAAAAGACGCTGCCTTACTCGTCTGAATCATGAGTACGGTTATAAATATTATACCAATAGGTGAAACATAAAATAAGACGTTTAGCAGTTCATGATGGATAACTTGATATAAGAAATCTCGTTCAACGTTTTTCACTTCAAATAATTTCCGTTTGCAAAGCATAGCTACTATTTTGCAATAATAATGAAAAACCATAATCCTTGGTGCGGCTATGCTGTGACATTTCTAATTGATACTTTTTATCTTCTCACAAGGGTGACTTGAATACGTTAATGATGCTTGAGCAATTGATCCGAAGTCCAACTTACTTGTTCTCCATTTCGGATGAGGAAGATACTTCACAACTCGCTCAGACCCAGGCAACTCTCGAACGCGACAAGATGTTATCCGCTGTCAGATGGTCGGGTTTACATAATGCCGAGCGTGCTGCGCAAAAGCACATCATCGCGGCACTATGCAAGAACATTATATTCTGATATCCCGTTTGAACTTTTGTTGGTTTAATTTTTTTTAAGGGCAAAGTTGCTAAAGCTATTGAGACCGTTGTCATTACATGTTCATACTCAATATGATCGCCATCAAACTAATACTAATAGTATGGATTTCAATGAATGGAAATAACCCATTTTTTTGTAATGGACAGGTGAAGAGCTATTTACATTAGGAATATTTGTACCTTTATTTATTTTGAACATCATGCCAACGGATGTTACATGTTAAATATGAAAACTTGTGCTTTGATGTTCCCAAACGATAAATACCACTGGTCACCGTTACTGCAAAAATCGGATGGATTGGACAAATTATCAGTTGATAAAAATTTGTATTGTAACGAAAGCTACGAAATGCACGCGTACTTGAATCGATTGTTTTCACACACATTCCCACTCATTTGAACCTTTCCAATACACCTGCTTTCAAGAGCAGTTGAATTCATCTGTGCGTGCATCTCGCTTTCAACCATATGTTCATTCATTGTAACCTGAATTTTGACCTGTAACTATCTCCTTAGCGGTCGTGAACTGTTGGCTCAACGACAATGTAGCACTTGTACAACATTAGTAAACATTGTTCGAGCCTTTGATAGTTTGATTTTAGTCTGTTTTGAGAAAAAAATTGCAATTGTAAGTTATGAAAAATATGAAGTCGTGAATATCGTTCGGTTCTCTTGCTTGCAACGCCAGATCGAAGACACCGCTACCAGGTGTCAAATAACGGCTCGATATCATAGCAGAGAAAATTGAGCTATTCATTCTAAAAATGTTAATCGATGAAGTGAGTACTGAAAATACTCAATATGGTATTGCGTCATTTGTTACTTATGAAAACAAGATTCTGAAATAATCTGAACGCTTCTAAATGGAACCGAGCCATAATTCTTCACATGCAACTACAAATGAATATTTGAACATTTTCTATAAATTATTCAAACAAAAAATTCAAAAAATAATTTCCAGTATTAAGGGTTGAGTTAAGTTGATGTGCAGGGATAAATAAAGCGATGAGTTCTACGCTTCCACTGTACTGCGAAAACAGAATACCACTTTATAAAAATAGAACGCGACAGTTTTCGGACTATGAAGTCCTTGAACCGTTACTTCTTCTTCAGGGCCTTTTCGGCAGATTTAGTGGTCTTGGCGCCAGCCTCTTTCTTAGTGACATCCTTGATGACACCGACGGCGACAGTCTGCTTCATGTCGCGCACGGCGAAGCGACCGAGGGCAGAGTATTGTTGGAATGATTCGACACACATGGGCTTGCTGGGAACCATCTTCACCATGCACGAGTCCCCAGATTTCACGTTCTTAGGGTTAGCCTCAAGCTCCTTACCGGTACGCCTGTCGATCTTGGTCACGAGCTCAGCGAATTTGCACGCAATGTGAGCGGTGTGACAATCCAGCACTGGAGAATATCCAGCCTGGATCTGACCAGGGTGGTTAAGAACGATAACTTGCGCAAGGAAATCAGCAGCCTCCTTGGCGGGGTCGTTCTTCGAGTCCGAAGTGACGAAGCCACGCTTCAGATCCTTCACGGACACGTTCTTTACGTTGAATCCAACGTTGTCACCAGGATTGGCTTCAAGGAGAGCTTCGTGGTGCATCTCGACAGACTTTACTTCAGTCACGGGTCCGTTGGGAGCAAAAGCCACCACCATACCGGGTTTGATCTTGCCGGTTTCCACACGACCAACGGGCACCGTTCCAATACCGCCAATCTTGTAAACATCCTGCGGGAAGAAAAAACCTCTAGTCATCTGGTGCAAGGAACCCTTGAGTCCTTACTCTAGGAAGCTTATCAGAGCATAGAAAACTATTGGCCACCGAAATAATTAAATCAACATGGTACGAGATTCATTGTGTTTTATGATCATGTACATTTCACAGAATTTTTCATTTGTCCATAAACTATTTAACATCAAACGGAGTCACGCTAACTTGACTAATTTTATTGCAGATGGACAGCGAATATCTAATAATCTTTTCAGGAAAATTTTTTTATCCAAGCCTTTAACCTTTCCAGTTATCTAGTATAGCATTGCCTAACTTTACAAATACGCTAACGAGATCACTTTAAAATAATTCCTAAAATTTAAATTTTATATTGATAACTGAAGTGAATAAGACTACTATTCTGCAAAAGGCTCGCATTAGATTTTTTCAACTGTAAAACAAAAATGCCATCATTTCCAACACAGAATAGAGGCCATTTTAACCTATGTTGTCCAAAAAGCAAAGTTAAAATAATAACTCTAGTGTTTTCCCACGCTATGAAAATCTGGTAGCTCAATCTACAGTAACAGATGAAGGTATAAAGGTTTACATGACAAAGAAGGTTTAAACGTTTCGGATATCAAGTTGGAAAGGCGGTATCTCCAACTCTCCAGCGACACAGCAGCCATGAATGGTTTATTAGACAGTAAGACTGCTGTAAATAGGTTGATGGGATACTAATAGGAAAAAAATAACTACCGACGAATGTAGAATGTCTCCAAACGCGAATATATCCAAGCCCCCAGCGTTATAGGTAGTAAACAAGACATCTTCTGTATAATTTTTCTATGCTGCCAACTAGAGAGCAACACAACTTTTCCACACTAACCTGGAGGGGAAGTCGAAGAGGCTTGTCAGTGGGACGAGTGGGAGGCTCGATGTTATCCAGGACTTCAAAGAGCGTCTCGTACTCGTAGGCGCCGCTCTTGCGTTCGATAAAAGTTCCCGTGAATTCAGCCCAACATTGTTATCACAAGACCTGCGCATAAAAGAATTGATACACACGAGCTTCAACTGTAAATATTTAAACTAAAAATTTACCCATTGAGATCATGAAGGAAGAAACTAACTTGGGAAGAGGTAAATCTGGAATCATCAGAAGCTGCAGTTCCATAGCAAATTCAATTTCACAATGCGGGAGAAAATCAATTCTAGCACATAGAAACCAAATCCTTTTCATGGTCAGGAACTATTTCAGGAAACTAGCTGAAAGATCACTAATCACAAAAATACAATTGTTAAATTCAGTAAAACGGCCTCTGCCCAAGTTTAGTTTAAAATTATATCATAAAAAAGTAATTGCAAATTACTTTACTTTGATTGATAGAATTGCATTAGTTGCAGACGCGCAAAGGTGAAGAAATTCAAATTTCTGAGGCTATTTCAAGTGAATATTAAAAATCTCAAGACAATTCTGTTCACTTCTGTTTTTTCAACATTCTCAATTAACAGTGTGAACAAGTTTAAGATGAATTTATTAAATGCAACCACTATGTTTCAAGCATTGGGCATAAAATTAAATTTTTTACATTTTCATCGAGAGAAGCTAACTCTTGTGTAATCCAATTGAGTTTTGGACATCAATAAAAGATTTGGCTTTTTCTGTTTACAAAAACTACAGAGATTAATATTGGTACTTTAGCTACTTTTCATCAAGTACTTGAATGTTCTCTTAGCATAGTGTGGTAGGGATGATGCTACTTAGAAAGACAAGGCAATGACTAATGCTGAGCTGAAGCAGAACAACATAGCCTACAAAATTTGAAAACAGAGTCGGCCTTTTACACAGAGGAGTCAAGGTATTCATGAATAGTAGCTTGTCTGCCATGTTGCAGCCTGCAGGAAAGACTGGCTGACATTCTTGCCTTTCAACATGCATAGCATCTGTATGCACCTTAGTGTTGATTGAAAAATCAACAAAATCACTTATTAACCAGCATCCTGACTCCTGAGCATATGGAATGACTTAAAATTTGGGCTTTTCCAGCTCAGCCATCTCAATTCTAAATTTTCAGTGTTGAGAAACCCTCTATGCTCCAGTCAAGGGAAAACAACATCTATATTCTACTTTCAAAGTCACATTTGGAGCTTCCTGGCCATTTTTTGCACCATCAGATTTCTGTTTAGCAAATGATTTCTCATGAATACAATAATCCCTAATTTGGAGGAAAGATTTGAAATTCAACTATAACATACAATTTGGGAAAATATATTGTTAAAATATACAAAACTTAACACTTCCACGCTTTTTAGAAGCATTATGAGTTTTAATTTTGAATTTTTCAACCAGATCATCAGCTGACAGTGCAGAATTTGAAAAATGTAGCCAAAATATTTAATACTTTTTCATTTGTTGCATCAAATTCATACACCACCATTCCCAAGCAAGGTCTAAACACTTGGAACTTGTATGGTAATCAAAACCAATAAATTATACCTAGACCCACTCAGCAATATAATTTCAACTTTTATGCTGCAAGTCAGATGCGATACACATCTCTAGACCAGAGTGGAAACTCTTGTGTTGGACAGGAGCTCGAGCGCCAGAATACCTAAGCATTTGATAATGCCATTCAAATGCTGAATTCCTATACTGTATACATTTCACAGTTCCAACAGACATCAGTAATATTTAATAAAATTCAATCCCATCACAATCAAGGTGAACAGGGAACAGCTTCTATAGACATTAATCAATTTTTAGAATCGAATTATTTACCTAAGTGCTAAGCCTACCTAGGTAGCAATCAAAATTAACAATTTAGGTATACCATTTGCATCAAAATGCATGAATTTGGTCAATGCACAATAACTAGACAAACCTATCCAATCAAAATTGGTTGTTGTGCCATGCAACATGCATTCCTGTAGCTACAAGACAAGGAAGATTGAATTTCTTCATATTTATGCATCCATCCACTCCACTTTAAGCGAGCATTCAAGTTGCACCTCACTTCTGGTCTAAAGTCGACAAGAAAAATTTTAGTGAATCATTGTCCACTCATTACACAATGATGCAGCTAGGACACTAGATACAGCCTATATAAACTGAATCATTGATGGTGAGCACTGGTCAGAATTATGTAGGTAAAATGAATTGAGGTGCTGCAAAGCTTTGCTCTGGACCAAGAACTATTCTTCAGTAGGCCAGCCAGAACTCAAGCACAAATTCATAATCATAATGCATACTAGATTCTAGGCATTTTCACAAAATGAAATCGCCTGAGAATCTAGAAACAGAATAGGTAGGTAGGTAGTCAACATAAAATTGGCACTAGCTAAGAAAGCTACCTAGAATAAAAATAGTGGTCCACTACTAGGCCTACCTAGCTACACTGCCCTAGGCCTACTCAAACAAAGTGACAAGAAATTAATCGCTCAAAATTTCATGGTTTCTTTATTATTCACGCATACGTAGCACTAGCAGCGTGGCAAGGTTAAAGTCGTCGATCAAGTACATCTATTATCAACTAATGCTTAACAATTAAAAGTTTAAACCAAATTACTTATTTTTTTAATAAGGAACTAATATTTTGAATTACTTCGTTATTAAGGACCCCAGAAGTTCGAAGTTTTTCTCGAAATGTGTTAGGCCTAACATGCTATCACGCGTCAATCTGTCATGTCAGCTACCTACCTAGTCTCCAACCACAAACCAGTATCTGAATAACTATCCCTAGATCAAAATTAGCTCTACAAAAATTTCCTGCCCTTCACGGGCCCGCATCATATCTAGAAAAATCATAATTACATATATAATTATACAAACAATTTTTAATACACTCACCGAAAGAAGTAAATGAGCGACACACCGATTTCTCTACGCCCGGCTGTAAAGGAACCTGGACGAGCTGGAAGCAGCGTGAATGTTGCCAGAATAATGTCTCAAGTTTTTTCTCGAAGTTTAAGGCAATTCACAGATTAGTAGAATTAGTTTTTATGAGCTTATAAACGATTTTCAAAATATTTTATAATTATATTTGAAAATTTTTATTCACTGTCAAGTTTCACTGCACAAATTAATGTCAAAATAGGTGTGCAAAGAATTTGACATCTGTGAGTTTAACGTTATCCAAACTTTTTAACTTAAATTGGGGGATGTTTTATTTTCCATAGTTTGTCTTGCCTTTATTTGATAGTGCAATTTATATTCGAGTGTCAGCCACCATAAAAAAAATCACCCTACCTACGTAGTTACGTCGTCGGTCACCTGTCCATGATAGACCACAAACAATCACGTCGAAATGGCCAATAAGAGGTCATCATTTTAACTTATTAGGGCTAAGTCTGTGCGCATTAAAAAACATTATGAATAAAAAAATCCTTTAGAAATATAGTTTTTTTCATATTTTAAGTGAGCTTCAAGTCTTTATATTTGACTAGTCCCGAAAGGGGCTTGGTTGCTTCAACTGACCATTTACATTTTTTTAGCGTTTTCGTCGGATGTCCTAAATTGACTTTTTCTTATTTTAAGAGAAGGTTTTAATTTTGGATGAATTCATAACAATGTACAAGCAATATAGTTATCTATCTACAGTATTAGGTCTAATCTAAAGATGAACGCGCCTAATAGGAACGTTTGCAAATATCGTTGTTCAAACAAAGGTTACAAATCCTCAAAAACATACTTTAGCTTAGTTCATTGTCTACATGGCTCACTAGCGGTTCGGTTATAAGGCTGTGGCTAGCTCCAAAAGGTAATAAAAATTTCGGTGAGTCTGAATCATTTCCTATTCCTTCAATCAAATGTCATTTTTTTAAGTGCAATGACGTATGTCTCAAATGGCCTGCCCGCTGAAGCCAGCAAGAGATGAGCAGCAACAGCAACTTTATGACATGACTTAATTTTTTTAATTTAGAGATTAAGGTGATTGAAGCATCTTCTAGCCCAATTCCAGACAAGAAAACGATTTTATAATGTGAAACAAATGAAAACCTAAAAAAGAAACTGCACTCGTATAAAAAGTCCTGCACTAGATGGCGGCAGCTTGCACGAGAGGCAGAGAAAGACAAAAGCGTAAGGAATTATGCCTCCTTGACAATTTATCCCTAAAAATAATATTCTTAATTAGATTGCTGTATTCGGGGCTCATGGGTGGGGCTCCGAGAAATAATGCCCCTCAACGCGAAAAATCCTACGTGGCAGCCATGCCAGAAAAACTCTGTGAGGGCGTACAAATATACGATGTTGCACAATTGCAATTCTTAAGACAGTATTTTACCATTTCCCACCTAATAATATGAAAACCAAATGTCGGTAAAGAACGCCATCTCATCCCTACTTTCAAGTTAAGCAAATTGAAATTATCGTGGTAAAATAACCCTAATTTGCTTCTACTTAATTAAGGAGACGCGATTAGTCATTGTAATGTTTTAGAACAGAATTTCAAATGAATATACAATTTGTTTCATTCAATATACGATGGTCGGCCAATTTCACTAGATTTGCACACAGAAGAGAATCCACTGCCCATAGAAGTTATTACTAAAAATTCGTATCCTACGTTTTAGACTTGAAAATCTACATCCGATATACTGTTGTGAGCAATATGCCTTTTAAACAAACATTGTGCAAGATGCTCAATGACACGAAGCAGGTCCTCTCCAGCGACTTCTAAATTTGTACCATAATCTTCCCGTATTTAAACACTGCTTTAGCCCAGGGAATGTAACACAAGTGATCCATTTTGCCACAACAGTTTTCCGTCATAAATCTTGCCATAAACATTTTCCGTCAGTGATGCACTTTCATCAGTTCCCATCATTCCAGATGTCCTCAAACCGCATTGACCAGACTTTTTGTTCAGTTGATGAAATTTCGAATTCAATTACATTTTTCGAAAAAAAATAGAGCGAATATTTAAAGCTTACAAAAAGTAATATCGGCAGAATCTAATTAGCTCGTTACGCGTTACAACTAAATTACTAACCGCCCTCGTCCGGGGCCTCGTTACTAAAGAAATAAGCTTCAGAGGGCTACGAGATAAATTCTATACTTTGCAACGAACTAACAATTTAAAATGAAAAATCATTCAATAACTGGACGAAATAAAAAGATGAACAATAAAAGACCGCATACCACGTTGACGTTTCTTATAAAACCGCACATCTTAAAGACTAGATAACACAGATATTTGCCTATTATTAAGTCTCCAAGATGTAGGTTATTTCTTCTTCAGGGCCTTTTCGGCAGATTTAGTGGTCTTGGCGCCGGCCTCTTTCTTGGTGACATCCTTGATGACGCCGACGGCGACAGTCTGTTTCATGTCGCGCACGGCAAAGCGACCGAGGGCAGAGTATTGTTGGAATGATTCAACACACATGGGCTTGCTGGGAACCATCTTCACCATGCACGAGTCCCCAGACTTCACGTTCTTAGGGTTAGCCTCGAGCTCCTTACCGGTACGCCTGTCGATCTTGGTCACGAGCTCAGCGAATTTGCACGCAATGTGAGCGGTGTGACAATCCAGCACTGGAGAATATCCAGCCTGGATCTGACCGGGGTGGTTAAGAACGATAACTTGCGCAAGGAAATCAGCAGCTTCCTTGGCGGGGTCGTTCTTCGAGTCCGAAGTGACGAAGCCACGCTTCAGATCCTTCACGGACACGTTCTTTACGTTGAATCCAACGTTGTCACCAGGATTGGCTTCAANAAAATAAGAAAAATGTTACGAAATGTGCAAAACATGTGCAGGTCAAATTCCATACAAAATGTGCAAAAACAAAATACAGGTAAATTCTACAAAGAAGTACAGATAAATTCTATCATGAAAGAGGCATTAATTTTCATTGCAATTTTTGTTAACCGCATTATTAGTTTCCTGATGAAAAAAAAATCATTAAAATGATTCAATACAGGTTAAGATCAAGGTCCACTTAATTCTAACCAATTCGAGTACTAGTTATAGGTATAGCAACTAGTATCAACTGAACTCTTGACATATCAACTTAGGTATCTAGTTAATCTAATATGCATAACGATCACTATTCAATCACAGTATTGCTACCGCTGAATAAACCTTGATGTAAATTTTATAACGACGACATTTATTCACTAAATTAGCTAGCAAGTTCCACACAAGATCGGCACGTAGATGCAATCATAACAACGCCGTTAAGTTCACCATAGCAATGCTGAAACTGAGAATTCTTAGCTTTTTCGGAAACTAATCTAAAACCTAAAAAACTTTTGAGCCGTTTATTATTAATTTCCAATACAAAATGAAGAGCAAACGTCATTTATCATTGGTAACCTTGCTTCTGAAATAGTAACCTACAGTTACCTACTACACAGAACAGAATTCAGTCAGAACCGATACGACGCGAGGAGACCGCCAATAATTCCAGGATTATTAACACACATTCCCACAATTTCAACAAGTACTATCAACCTTTAATAAATTGTGAGAGCACTGTATTCTTAGCTGAAAGTAAAACGTAACAGAATCACGTGCTAATTAGATGACAGCACCGGCAAGATGGCGGCACCGGCAACACCCTAACTGACCATGTGTTCTGGTAACAGCCAAATTTACTTAAAAGCCAATTTCTAGCGTCACAAATCATAAATCAGCTTCACAGCTCTAAATATACAACTATAATTAAAATAAGTTCATATAAAACTCCATCTCTCCTCGTTTAAATTATAGTATGGGTAGGCTGGTAGGGTAGCTATAATGCTCAGGCGAACTGCGAAGATAAGCACTCAGTTTAGTCAGTTACTATAGCTCCACTCGCCAATTTGCTTCCTGTCACACGTTAACTGACGAATTTCTTCCATTGTAACTTGAAGATACGACTATTATAGATGCGCATGTATAATTTTTTATGAAACTTATTCACTTTCACAACACTCTCGCTGTCCCTTACCCTTGCCACGCACGCAGAATGATGTTCAACAGCAAATGAAGGCGGATGAATCTCGCTTGTGTATTATATAGCCAGCATTCAGGCCTGGCTATTGGATGGTGCAACTATGACGTAGGCAGAGACTGGAAGTTTATTGGTCGAGACACTTGCGTAAACAGGATTTGAGACGGCGGGAAGTTCGCATTCACAACATTTGTGAATTAATAAGTGCAACATCAGCAACGTAGTAAAAAGAAAGTAGAAATAATAAAGCTGAGACTTATCAAGATATTCCACCTCATTACATGCATTTCGATCCAAGTACCTTATGTACATTTCAGCAAGCAATTCTGCATGCCTGTTTATAAAATAAAAATTAAAAGACAAATATATTTTAAAGTGATCAATTGAAATACTAACTTTAACGGGGTTAGTATTTTGTTGGGCATCAGTTTATTTTAATTATTTTCGTATAAATAATAAACATTTATGTCTATGGATCATATGTTCTCTAAATGTTTAAGTAGCCTATGAGTTATGGATTGTTCACAAAAACCGGTCGTTGAAGTGCCCGATGGGTGAGAGTTTTGTTCACCGGGAATTACCGTCCTCATAACATGTAGTAAAGAACTAACTCATATATAATTTTCCTATCGATATGTTTCTTTCCAAAACGCCTTCAACTGCAAACACTAGAAAACGGAAAAATCAAGTCGCCTTTGTGGCTGAGTGTGTTGTAGCATGTACCTACTGCAATCAATAAGTTTCTCTAGTGTCGCCATGTGGTGTGAGTAGCGCATCGAAGAAGCGAGGTTGCGCCATTTCTTGTCGTTACGAATTTTTTTTACATTTACCTTTGAAAACCATAACATTGAGCAATGTGACTGCTGCTTTGCACAATTTACTCGTTACTAGTTTAAATGCATTTTTAAAAATCTTAACGGTTAGCAAAATTTTTTTACAACAAACTCTTTATAAATAGTCAAGCAAACTCAATGTCGGTTCTTGCATCATGACTTCAACTCGCACAGAATGTGAACGCATGTCAATAACTCTGACCTGATATTCGAACGACTGTTCCGCGCAAATCAAGATGACAGTTCTAATAGATTTTAATCTATTATATAATAGGTCTAAAAACACATCATAATAGTAACAGGATGGTTTCTAGTAAAAATAAATATTTTCAGCATGACACATTTAAAAATTTTAAGCTTACATAAATGTAAAATATGTTCTTCAAAAATAAAGATTACTGTCTTCAAACGATGTTCCGAGGCATACAAAAAACTATTTTTGCTTAATATCTTACACATTGTACGATATATTCCATTATTATATATAGCAACAGAGAAGTTCTAAGAATATACAAGCCCATTTCCGACTCATCTCAGAATGTTTTCTATTATACTCTATTTAAATCCAACATGATGCCTCATTTAATTTCCATTAGTAATTTTCCATCCATTTAATATATTCAAGGCAGTTAAATTAGCCTAATCTTACCTTCACATATCGACGTTTTGCCTGCAGTTATATACCCTCATGAAGGTATTCGCAGGTAATCGCATTCCTCAATCAGCTTTTTTTGAGAATATCAGCCATTTTTTTCTAGTTGTGGTTATCATGGTCATCGGCATGTCTGTAAATATAACACTGCACTAATTTTTGGAGCTCACAAACGATTCCCTCTGCAATCTCAGAGATAATTACGTGATTCTATTCTCATAAAAATAGCAAGTTAGGTATTTAAAAAAATCAGCTTTTTTGTATGACGAGTGATGCAATTTTTCTTTTGTAGGAAAATGGTCCTACAATATTTTTCATTCTACAGGGAATATATAGATTATTTCATTCATAATATCTAATGATCAACATATTGTGCAGGGTTATCACAAAGTCCGGCAAAGTTCTTTAATAATATAATTTTGGAACATGAATATTGTGGCACTGTACGCAAGGTAACGTTGCAAGCGGACAGCACATTTACACTGACGCGGCTGCAGAACTCAGTGTCGTCCACCCGCCAACTTGGCAGGAGTTCTTACAGTAAAAATAGAGTCCCTTTTTAGCGCATTTTCTCATTTATGGAAAAAAAGGCGTTATTGTGCTCGTCATGTCCGTCTTTCTGTCCGTGACTTCACGTTTTAGTCGACGAGAAAATGCGCTCTCTGTCACTCACTGCAGTGAGTACTGAGTTATATTTTTTGTCTTCAGTTTGGTCATTTATTCATAGAAAGCTAGCAGAATTAAAGTTAAATAATAAATTTAACGGTTAACTTTTGCAACTAAGAGCGTAATGTCAAAAGTAAACAGTTTATAGTAACAGGGGAGAACATATTTTTTTTGTATTTTGGTATATTTATTGAATATGTATCCTGAAGGTTACATTGATTTCACTATAAATTTGAGGTTGGCTGGAACCGTCGACTAAAACAATCGAGTTCAAGAAATCATAACCATAAAATTTCATGGAACAAAACTCCAGAACCGCAGGAACTTAAAGGAATTTATAATCCATGTAGAGGAATGTGTTTCTTTTACAAGACGTCGTCTGGAACTTGGCTACAATAGATCTGGCGTGAAAAAGTAAGGAATTCCACAACACAATGTGAACAAAAATGACACTCCTGGCTGTACATGATACAAAATAATACCTGTCAAAGATGACAGGAATTTCTCAGCCCTCTATAATATTTATACAATTGATCATATAATATCACAGCGCAGTTATTCATCGAGCCACTGCAGGGTTTACATGAGAAGTTGCAAAATGAACAACCAAGTAAATAACCACGTTAATAAGTTTGATCACAACTGATGCATCCTCTTAAATAATGCATTCAATTGCATTTAAAATAAAATTCTAATAAATAGCGTCAGGTTACGAGTCTTTACCCAAAAGTCATTTGCAAAAAAACTTCGGAATTTACTTCGAAGAAACCATGAATGCACAGTCTGTTTCATCATAATTAAAATTTGTTAGAGTATGACTCATGAAAATATTACAACATACATAAATGCTTCTGCTCTTGAGAAGCTTTGGCTTGTGGGTTGGAGAGGACACAGAATTCAGAGGCACGAGAAACTGGTATGTATGTTCAGCATGTATGTATGTATGTGTGTATGTTCAGTACAATGGGAACCCTACTCGGAAATACGAATGTGGGAGGGAGGGGGTCACATTGTGTCGCAAGGAAAAGGATAGAATAGAAAGGGAGGAAGAGGGAGGGAGTGGGGAAATGTCCCAGCGTACAGTCACGAGCCGGAAGAAGCTTCACTATGGAGATTAAGTTGACGCTTAAGCATTCAAAATCATGCATTCGCTGCTCGAGACTATTTCTACTTGAATGAAAGTAAATAGAAACAAAAAAAAAGTAATAGCTACAGAGTTGTGAGACAAATTTTCGTGAGGAAATTTAGTTCAGTAACAACTAAAAAGCTTGAAACAGGGCATAGCGATATGGGTCATGTACATAAATCCAGGTACTTATGCTACCCGAGAAAGCAGCATGAGTAAGATGATAATCCAGCATTAGCTTTGGTTCGTTAGTACCTTCCGGTAGCAGCGCTTTTCTCACGGATTTTGGTCGTCAGGTAATCTGACAAACCCAAGGCGGATTGTTTTTGAAAATGTGAATGGGGGAGTAACCTTATTTCTACAGCAGGAAGGGGGGAAAATCTTGGAGTCACTGCACTGAAGCAAGACAACAACAGGAAATAAATGTCACAAGATGACAGGTGAATAAGAAAATTAAGAAAATTCTGTGTGTGATGTTCGAAATATGAAAAAGGAATAGTGTG